GGAGTTGGGCTTATTTAGCTTGGAGAAGCGAAGGCTTCAGGGAGACTTCACTGCGGCCTTTCAATACTCGAAGGGATCTTGTAAGTAGAAAGTGGAGCAACATTTTAAACAGTATGATAGTAATAGGACCAGGGGAAATGGCTGTAATTTAAAGAGAGGAAATCTAGGCAAGATGTTAGGAATAAATTATGTGCTCAGGTTGATGAGGCACTGGCACAAGTTGCTCGACGAAGATGTGGGTGCTCCACCTCTGGAGGTTCTCAAGGCCAGGCTGGATGGGGCCTCTGACAGCCAGGTCTGGTGGGTGACAACCTTGCCCACAGCAAGTGTTTGAAACTGACAATCTTTAGAGTCCCTTCCAACCTAAGATGTTTAGAGATTCTATGATGATTACCTACATGTCATGAAATAAATGTCCATTTAGATTAAGGGTGAAGACAAAGATGAGGAACAGGAGCTGATTTCTTTTAAGAGTATGAGTAGATGCCCTAAGACGCCTGCTAGAGGTTCCCAATAATGTTGAAAAGCAGACCACATGCATGGCTGCCCAAGCACAGGTTAATGAATATGTGGCCGTGTGTAGCCTCTCTGCACTGCTGCAGTGTTCATGAATCAGATAATGGCGGCATCTTTGCAGGCTGCTGAATCCTGCAAATGTTAATGAGGCAGTATGCAGAAGTCATAACAGCTGCCACTGTCAAGTGGCCATGAAAATGATTATCTGGTAAGATCCTGGAGGTAGAGCTCCTATCACCTAAATTCTCAAAGAACACATCTGATTTACTATCTTCTCATTGCATCAAGATATTTAGTTTGTCATGGCAACCTAGCTGCAGATTGAGTAATAGGATGCGATCAGGCAGCAATCATAATGAAAGCATAAGTTAAATGCCTCTAAAGTTAATGATCCAGATTCTTCACTGCAGCCGTGGGGCACACAGTGTAACTTGGAGGAGGTGCACAGATGCTGTAAATTACTTTGGACACCATTATCATGACCTGAGCCAGCTGCATATGAGAACAGATCGGTGGCATAAGTTACAATATTCCAACTGCTGCTGCGGGTGCTCCTGAATGGCTGTTATGGCAGCTCTGCAGTGCCAGGTCAACGCTGAATCCCTGCCAGGCTTCCTTTCCCTTCTGCACTCTGACTGTGGGACTGACAGTATAGAAATGCCATGTTTTCTTTTCTGTCCCACTAAAAGATTGCCCAACTCTGAATAATCTTTCCATTCCTCCTGGCCCTTTTAATTCAGTAAAATACTGTAAATCGTCTTGGATGCAGAGTGTGAGCTTAAGGCAATATACTTTCCCTTGATTTGCACTTTTTTTCTCTATCATAATAGCATGGGCATTAATTTTGCATTAATTTTAAAGCCCAGATTCAAGGAAATGCTTTTAATAGTATAAAAAACTATTAATCTGAGTAAGAAATGGAAGAAATGGTAACTGAAAAATGATGTTATAGACAACATTCTCTGTCAGTGCAACAGCATCCTCTCTACAGTTGCCACAGTGTGATCATATTAGTGTATGTTAGAGCTGCCAGCCTGCTATGCTGCCTGCTTTTTGATGATAAGTATTATCTATTATATTGCAGGGGCTTTTGGTCAGAGACTGGTTTATTTTGCAGTTTTCTGAATTTATTTCAAGATCTTAACTTCAGGTTTTATCACCTGCTGATGACTTCTGCAGACAAACTAACAGAAATTAATCTGGTGGAAGAACAGGGAGCAATGTCTGCATCCAGGAACAGCAGCAAACTGAAGTTTGGAGACAGCAGCTGAACCAAGTGAAAGTAGGACAGCCCTAGCAGGGAACAGTCACTGTTCTGTGCAATAAAATCCATGCAGTAAAATTAATGGAGTTTTGGTGAGCTGCCACTCCCTGGAGATAATGCTCAGCCTACAAAAAAAAGCAGGTCTGGATTTCTTGCCTCCTTCTTTCCTTACCCCAGTCACCAAGGCTGCTGAACCCCTTTTTACATGTCTTGCCTCTCTTTTCTTTTCCCCCATGGAATATGCCAGAATGGGGCCATATGTCATAAAGCAGTCATGGTATTAGGAGACAGAAAACTCCCAAAGCCTGGGTAAATGTCAATGCCACGGAGCAACTTTACCCCTGAAAGGTCACAGTCTGCAGTTCCAACACATTCTGGGCCAGGTGGCAAGCGACAAGTCAAGTGTATCTGTTCAGCATAATACCACATTATTACATTTGTCTGTCCAGCATTAAGTGAGCTTCACTCACATGCTTTGTTTTCCTTGACTCTGAATGTGTAAGAAAGCTACTGCAGCCCATCCTAAATCTATTCACTCAAAAATTAGTAAAAGGCCATGATGTCTGATCTGTGATTTAGACTAAATGGAAACACCTAACACCAAAACTGTGATCCTCAACCTGAGCTTCTGTCTAATCCTCACCATTTACATTTGCTAAATATCTAGTATAGAACATTAATGGCGCTTGAAGTAGCACAGCAGTTGTGAAGCGTTCAGGATGCCCCTGGGATGAGGTCTCTTATTTGCTTGAATCACCCTTGTCCTGAGCCAGGGATGCAGAGAGGTGAGCCTTGATCTTGAAGACCAATAGAATGTGTGCAGTCCTCTCCTACAAAAAACAGTAGCCTGGTGATTTCTTCTCTCTTTTTTGGGGGGGCGTGGAAGAAAGGGTCTCAGAAGTTTCCAGGCTGGAAACTTTGCGAGGCCCAAATGTCCATGCAGCCTGGTAATGATAGGGCACTAATATATAGTACAAATCCACCCTGCTCACTGTGTGGAGCAGTTGTTCCTTGTGTGTCCACTGCACTACTTAGCATTTTGACTCCTGAATTCACATTTCCTTTATTTTTTTTTCAATTCTGACTGGTTGTTGTGTATGGGAGTGCATATTTTGGGAGCTAGATTTTTGAATTTATTTAATTAATTTGTCAAATTGTCAACCTGTTGAATTTGAAAAGTATACCAGGAGCAGGTGCTTAATTTTCTTGAATTTACTTAAACAACAGCACAAAGAAGACAGCAGTGGTGGATGCTGATAGATCCTTCATACTCTTTCTGGTTGTATTGCAATGGAGTAGAGATTATATATTGATTCCGTATTATTTTTTAAAAATATTAGCTCAAATTTTCACAATCACTGTGACTGATTGTTCAGACAACTAGTGATAAATCATTTATCTGCTGATTACTCACTGGTAATGACTTCTTTTCCTTGGATGATTATTCTGTTGGAGATCATTGCACACAAACTGTAAAAGTTTCCAAAGCAGTGCTTTATTGTTGGTGAGCCAATAGCTTTTAAGAGGGCTCTGCATATTACAACGTTGCCATTTGCTAGGGCAGACTGCTGATTGCTACCTTCACTTTTCTGAATATTATCAGAACATCTAATTTTTATTCCGCTTCAGGGTCACGCTAAGTTACCAATTTAAAACAGTTGCTGTGATGTTGACAGTTTTAATTTGTTCCACTTTATATGCTGGTAGGCCTATTGTCTGTTCAAAGTAGATTTTGTGGTTCTGAAAGAGAGAGTTTCAATACTTTCTTAACACGATGCAATTTGTACTCATATTGCAGCTTCAGACATCTCCTTGGGGGCAAGTCTAATTGAAGTTGCTTGATTTCTGTTACCAATCACGGTTTTTTCAAACTGCTTTCCTTTTCATCTCTAATGCTTTAAGTTTCTGCTGAATTAGCTGGCTCACTCAGGTGTAATATTTTCTCATATTCTGTCTGCTTGACCACAGACCTCTGGTCGGCTCCAGTCTTCCAGCTAACATTTAAAAAGCACCCAATGCACTCTGAGACAGACTTAGAAGAATTTGCTTACCCCTTCTTAAAATGGCTGTACATAAATTAAGCCATAAATCTGGATCTCATTCACCTTTACATGTGCTGCACCTTAAATGTCTGTAGTTGGCTTCAGTTTTACTCCCAAAAGTCGAGTCAGGAATCAGTATGAATCCAAGAATGAAAATCATCTGGATCTTTGTCATTTAGTAGACGTTTGAAGGGCTAATGTATCACACAGAATTGTAGGGGTTGGAAGGGACCTCCAGGGATCATCGTGTCCAACCCCCTTGCCAAAGCAGGTTCCCTATAGCAGGTCACACAGGTAGGCATCCAGGCAGGTCTTGAACATCTCCAGAGAAGGAGACTCCACCACCTCCCTGGGCAGCCTGTTCCAGTGCTCCGTCACCTCACTGTCAAGAAGTTCTTGCGCATGTTTGTGTGGAACTTCCTATGCTGCAGTTTCCGGCCATTTCCCCTTGTCCTGTCTCCACTCACCACTGAAAACAGTCTGGCCTCGCCATTCTGCCCCCTACACCTTAGATATTCATAGACCTGGATCAGGTCCCCTCTCAGTCTTCTTTTCTCAAGGCTGAACAGACTCAGTTCACTCAGCCTTTCTTCATAGGAGAGATGCTCCAGGCCCAACAGTATCAACAGTACTGTAGCAAGTTACTTAATTGGATTATTGCACAGAACTGTATATAAATTCCCTTCTTGGCAAAAAAAAAAAAAAAAAAACACCCAAACAAAACACATTTTGTTGTCAATTTCAAAAGTACATGGTGAGTTACAAGGAGATAAGTGTAAGCTTACATGCATTTGCATTATAATTAATAGAACTAGTGAAAGTGATAGTGAAGTTGGAAATTTTCATGGGAATACATTCTTCATGGTTAAAAAAACCCACAGATATAACCAAGCACTTCTTTAGGTTTTAGAAAAAGCATGGGATGCATTCCTTGACAGTTTTATTTTCTCCTTCGGTTTTACCAAGATGGCAAGTGCTTGACATTTGTATTCTATACCATTAATTATCCATTGATTATCCTAATGGACTTTTTTTGTATATTTGTTTTTTTCTTCTTTTATAGATCCTTGTGTAACCTGTATTTTAAATACCTTGGTTTGTGTTGAAGTTTATGTCTTGTGTTAGACCTAGGTTGTGGGGATATGTCAAAGTGCTTTTATTTTCTTTTTTCTTTCCAGAGAAATAGATAATCATGAAACGATTTCTTCTCAGCAGTTCATGAACTGTCTTTTTCCATTTGGTTTTCCTTCCTCGGACAAGGTTTGTTCTCCCACCACTTCTGCATTGGAAAGATAGAGAGGTAAGAGGGAATGACAGGAGAACCAGGATATGTTGTGCACGATTGTCATCAACTCTGCTGACGGATTCTCTGCCCTGGCTTTCTCTTTTCCTTCCTTTAATGCCTGCTTTTTTTTTTTTTTTTTTTTTTTTTTCCTTTTTTTTTTTTTTTCCTTTTTTTTTTTTCTTTTCTTTTTTTCTTTTCTTTTTTTTTCCTCACTAGTAAAGGCATTTAATGAAGAATGGAGGCAGGTGATTTTGACCATGGGACCAAGGGGGTGGATGGAGCCTATTGTAGGAGATGGTGAGAATGATTAGAAGGAGAGTTATTTCTCTCAGCATTAGTAGATGGGATTCACAGATCCTTTTAGTTTTGTGATCTCCAAATGACGCAAGATTGGCCTGGCTGTAGAGTATTGCCAACTGTAAGTTTCTTGCAAAGTGTATATGATTTATTTTATCATCTTTACCTTGGAGATGGGGAAATCAAACACAGAAAATTAAGTTATTTACTAGTGGGAATAAAGACAACCGAAGCTGGGAACTGCAGCAGAATTAATGCAATCCCACTTTCCAGATTTATGTCTGTTTACCTTTTGTCATAAGGCTGCACACAGAGACTTAGCAATTATTCACTTTTAAAATAACTTAAGATAATAGCTCAGACCCTTATTAGTTTTGGGTATTGTTGGACTTTCCTAAATATTTTAAGGTGGTTCAGCTAGATAATTGATTATGAATAACTGATATTCAAACACTCCTTTGAAAACATTCTAGAGTCAGATCCAGAGCTAACACAGATCAATATACTCCCACTGAAATCACACTTACCGAGCAAGTTCAGCATTGTAATATTTCCCTTAGTAATAATATATACAAAGTGAAGTATTTCTGAAATTACAGAATGGATATTATGAAAAAAACTACCATAAATTACTTATTGTAAATCATTAATAACTTATTATATGCTCAAGAGTCCCATTGTAAAGCATAAAAAATATTTATTTCAAGTCTTTTTTAAGGTCCAGCACTTTCATCCCATACTTAACATTATAAAAGTTTCCAATGAAATAAAATTGAATGGAAAATCTGTGTATACAAAATTGAGACATGCTAAAAATACACAGATTGCACAAAGGCTCTGATTTTTCTTGCATGTAAATATGAACACATAGAAGAAAACCTTTCCCCTGCAGGGCTGATGACCTCTGAATGAATTTTTACAGGAAAATGAATTCCTCAATAGAACATCAACATTCAGTACATGGTCCTGAGGATGAAGATGGATCCTTGTAAATCTTTGCTGATAAAGTACTACCTGTCACATTGTTGTCTAAAATAATGATGATTCATTTCTAAGCTAAATCACAGTGAAATAAAAATGCATGGAACTAGTAGTCTAGTGAACCATGCCATGAAAAATTACAATTGTTCTGCATAAGTCTCTGGAGATTTCAAGTCCATGAAGCTTTTATTAAACTTATTCTCTTAAACCAACTATGCTATTAACAGATAAAACAAGTGTAACAACAGAATTTTAGCTACATTAAAACTGTTTCTAGTAATATTATTTGTCATTAATATATATATATATTTCATACACTATAGCTGTTTCAATCCAATGAATCTATTCATGATATATATATTCATTACTGTGTAATAATCAGCATGGTTTCCTTGTGTCAGCATGCTAAATCATGAGGCGTATTAATTTGTTTGCTTTTAAGAGAGATTGGAATGGAGGTGTTATAGTCAGAAATACTAATTATAATATAATTTATTAGAGTTTACATCAGCTGATGACATTTTAAATCCATAGTCCAAATTTCTTAATTGATCTCAAGAGCAGAACATCATATTCAGCTTGCTGTTGACTCCTACATTTGATTGAAAAATGATATTGCTTCACCTTATGTATATGAATCCCTTTGCAGAGAGCTTTTCTGCTGCAGTGATATCTAAATTAAATTAGTACCACAGATTAGAAGAGGAGGAAATGTTTAAAATGACATTAAAACTGAGCAGTAAATCTTTCACTTTTAAAAAGAAATGAAAAAAATATTTCATTACTTATTTCTCATCAAAAGTAGGCAACTAATTAGTCTTGCTCCAATTAAGACTTGTGTTATATAGAAGATGATTGATTCTGTCTAGATTTTTGTCCTTTGATTACATAGCAACAAGGAACGTGTAAAGTTTTCATCATTTATGTGAATGTATGCTTTGTGCATGAGCAGTGGTGTATTATTTTGGCTGAATGGGTTGCCCAGCAAGGATGTTCTCTCCCTGGAGACACTCAAGACCAGGCTGAATGGGGCTGTGAGCAACCTGGTCTAGAGGGAGGTGTCTCTACCTATAGCAGGGGGGTTGGAACTAGGTGATCTTAAAGGTCTCTTCCAACCCAAACCATTCTGTGATTCTGTGATTTGATAACTTTATTTCCATGATTTTCAGCTGATAAAGAACAGGTGTTGGCCATGCAGGAAGATTACTAACCACATATAGAGTCTACAGATGGCTTTTGAAAGCGTATCCAGGCTGATGATTCCAGTGTGAAGAGGACATAACAATAATGGGCACTCATAAAATATACGTTCAAGGTATGACGCAGGATCTGGATCTTTTACAAGATAGCCTTGCAAAAAAACCAACTAGCCAGTCTTAATTCCCTACAGCCTGGAGCATATAGCTGCCCACTCTCCCAGATCTTGCTCTCTTCTTATCTTTTAAAGATGAGAAGAAGTTTAATTAACATTAAATTAAAAATGTAGAGGGGACTGTTTTCTTTGTAACCGCAGAAATCAATTGCAAATTCTTATACAAAGATAAGTTAAAAAGTGAGGAGAGACAGGCAAACATAGATTTCCCATTGTCATGAGCACTGAGCTATTGCAGACTGCTACAGACACTGGATCTCCTGCTGCAATACTTTCTTCATTTCTGTGTTTCAGATATGGTCCTTGGCATACATCACATCAGTGCTTACTGCTGCTCCCCACTGATGGTTGTCATGCTACAAAGAGAGAGAACTGATGAGAAGTGGACTTAGCACAGCCGGAGTTCTTTTGCATTCTGCATACTTTCCTGTTCCATGTGTACACAAAAGGGTAGACATAGTGCAGAGGCAGGCTGCTACTGAACTGTAGCTGTTCTTACAGGCAACAAATCTGCTGTTAAGCAGTAGGAGTAGTTACCCTAGGAGTAGTTACCCCTGTTTAATAGTGTCTTTACAAAATTAACCTGCCTCCAAGTCTCCTCTGTAGCATGAATTAGGCTTAAAGGTCCTCAGAAAATAAGGCTAAAGAAATCCACTCATCATGAAAAATAATAGACAACATAATTTGAACAGTATGTAATTGAACAATGTTACTTCCACAAGCATTTTCTGGCCTTACCTTGTAAATTAAATAAATTCCTGATAAATACATGAAAATCCAATATAATTACTTTTCTTGTTCATATCTCTTGGTTGAGAAATATTTATCTGTGACAAAGCAAATTTTCTGTACTGTTGAACTACTTTCATCTGAACAGGTTGTACCTCTTTTGAATTTATATGCTTAGCTGAGAGAGGCTTGCTTGCTTGCTTGCTTGAAAAAGGGAATTTTGTGAATCATGAAAACAGGGAAATCTCATATCCACAAACCACTGTCTAGGATTTTTGTCTCACAATTTGCACATTAACAGAAGAATTGTTAATTTTCAAACATAGTCATCAGTAACTACTCAGAGTTTTGCCTCATGAGATGTGAAACTGTGAATAGTTTGTTGCTCTGTGATAATGCACTGGAATGAAAAGGAGCTTCAGTAGCCAAATCCTCAGATGGTACAAATTTATGAATGTTGCTGAAGTAAATACACATTCATGTAGGCTGCCTCATGATGTTCCCTTTCATTCTCTGGGCAATGTATGTCATCACATTCACGCAAATCTAGCATAGCTAATGTTATCCAAGATGCTATTTGCAAAGCATGGTAGCCTTGCTCTCTATATAGTGAAAGGAGCAGTCATTCTCTATCCAGTTCATTCTCTCCTCAGTCAAAAAACTGCTCCCAAATTATTGGCTCAAGAAAATAACCAGAATATATTTTTACTTCCAAAGCAGAAAAAAATAAGCAGTTACTCAATGGTGTATTAGAAATTGAATAGAATGGAACTATAACCATTTACTATCATTGAAAGTTTGCCCCTAGCTTTCAAGTACATATTTTTTATAACTCTTCATTTTCCACTCACTAGCTTCTATTACAAATCACTTATTTTTCTGGTGCCCATCAAGTAAATTCGGACATCGGGTACTACACATAAAAAACACTGTGCAATTATTCTGTTTTGTCGACTCTAGAGACTGGAACAAAGACAGCACTGAATCAGGAGTTGGAAGGAGGGTAAAGGAGAAGGAGCCATTGAATAACATGCAGCAGAAAGATACTGAAAGAAACTCCAGAGGTGATCTTCAAGAAAAAACAAAAGTAGACTAAGAAGATAATGAACCATGAAATGGTGAAAGATGAGGAAGGCAGCAGAATAAAGATATTTGCACTTCTATTTGGCAGTAACTGCAGCAAAGCAAACTGTAGTTTTTGTTGTTTGTTTGCTTTTTTTTTTGTGCTCAGTGGTACCAATATTTCTCTCACAGATATTTTAAGAGCAGTAGAGATAACATTCAGCAAAGTTAGCAAAAATAAATTACTGCCAAGATTCAATTTAATTCAAGAAAACTTCTCTATAGTTTAAAACAACTCTTGTAAATCTGCTGTATGCACTCCTTTTAATTAGGAGTGATACTTTTGATTTAATAAGTAGTCATGCTATAAGTATTATTTTACTGTGATTTGCTAATAATAAATTCTTCGCATCACTTTTAAAGGAATCAAATAACATTCACATAAAACAAAACAAAACCCTAGAAAAAAACATATTGATTTATTTACTTTGACCACAATAGATACTTCAAGGATCCGTCTCTTCTGTATATGTCTAACCTACAGTCTTCAGATGGAATGAGCTGATGACCACTTCTTCTCTGGAGAAGGAAGGTGACATGTTCTGGACAGTATAGTTGTCAGTGTCTGGGGTTGGCATAAGAGAAACCACATGAGGTGTCCCATTACCTTGGAGAATTTGGGATCTCTTGACTAATATCTCCCATCTCCTAGTGGTCTTCTGAGCATGGATTTGTTACATTATAAGACATAAGCATGTATCAAAAGTTATTGAAAAAGCCTGTATGTACGCTTGGACTAGGCACAAGATGTCCAGGAAGGTTATGGAGTTCATGCTTCTCCAAGTTGTTGAAAAACCATCATGACATGATCTGGAGAGACTAGTTTGCTGATGACCTTGAAAGTACACGAGACCTCCAGAGATCCCTTCCAGTCTCAGCTATGCTGTGTAATTATGTGTGTATGGATAATATATTCAGTGACTAGAAATGTGCAAGTGCGTGACATTATTCTGAACAAAATATCAGCACCTCTGTATCTTTTTGTTGCTAGGGATTTAGAAATGTTCAAAAGACTGAAATCATGACATGTGTTTCTATCACAGCTATAAATTCCACAGCTATAGAAATAAGCATATATAATTGATTACATTTTGCTGGCTGAAGGACCAATTAAAAGAGTACTCTATATTATGAAAAACTTTGGGTTACAGCTGGTGATCACACATAAAAGTGGTAAAAATAAAACTGGCTTTTACACTTTATTTTTCTTTCCAATCTTTGATTCATGTAGTTAATAACACATTTGAAAGATTAAAAGTTTAATGGAATTTACTATAACTTACATTCAGACTTCTTTATTCCTAAAGGATGAATATAATTATTTGAATTCTTCACTTCATTACAGATGTTTAAAGTGAAGCCAATGGCCCTATTCAGATATGAATACAAAGTTGCTCTTTTTTTAGAAAAATTATTTAGTGAAGCAGAACACTTGTCCTTAAAAGAAAGCTAATTCCTCTCTTTAATGGATTGCGCATTTTTGTTGTCTGAATTGATATGCCCTAGGCAAATAATTGCTGGAGTTCATTTCTTCAAGCTGATTAGGTAGGTTTTCTGCATCTTTATTGCTCAGAGGAAACTACCCTCTAATTAGAAGTACAATAAATCTACAAGCATCCAGGTTTCATCTCAATTGTTAAGATACATGTTGGATTCTGCTACAAAGAATGATAAACCTAGTTCCATGGTAAAAGTAAGCAGTAGTAAACCAGAATTTAATTACAATGATATCAAGTGTCAGTTTTGATTTCTAGGTATATAGGAAATATAGCCATATGTTGACAATAAAACATAGAATGTATAGCATTTTTTAATCTTTCTTACATAAGAAGATCTTTGCAATGTTCTATATAATAAAAAAACAATAGCAGTTATGTACTGTGTTATATTTATTTTGTAACATAAAGGAATGAAATGCATGAAACAGGAGCTACTGTGCAAATATGGCACAGTATAATTATTCTTACTCTATAGAATTGGCAGTTCAGAGTCAGCAGAGAAATAACAAAAGCTGTGTAGAAGACAATGAGAAAATGTGTTTACTCTGTGAACCAGCAGCTGCTGTACGGTCAAATCTGTTGTTCTTGAGCCTTTCTGTGGAGGACCTTTGAGTTTCCTGTGGTCCAAATGGGTTCCATAACTTTCCCTTTCTTCAATCTCATTGTTGTGCTCTACAGGTTCTGATTTAATCTTCGCAGCACTTCAGTTTTATGATCCAGTTACCCTACAGCCTAAGGCCAATACTCACTGTGGTTGCTGTGTGGAAGTCTGTCATCAAAGAAATGATCAGTCTGTAGTACAATCACAAAACAGGAGGGCTGCCATAAGGATTATAGGACAACTACTCTTTAATTTTGATAGCAGAAATGATGTACTGGTCCAGACACAAGAAATAAACCACCTGTACAGATTACTTATTATATCTAACACCTAGAAATAACCTCTGACATATGGTTTGAGCCTTCCAGAATTCCCTTTCCTATATTTGTCTTTTCTTGCAGTCATAAACTGATAAGAGTGCCACTTCCTCTCCTTTTTTTTCTGATTCTTCAGTTATGCTTGTTCATTCATTGCTGAAATAGTGGAAACAGATTGTTTCTGCTATAAGAGCATGTTCATGTAATTCCTTTCCCAAATATATGGTTTTAAAGACTTCATTCATATTTAGCTTCTATGGAACAGCTAAATTGCAGGATTAACTAGAGATAAAACAAACTGCTTGGAATCAACTTGGCAGCATAACACATAGCTAAATGAAGGCTAATTTACTCAAATGAGAGATGGAGTATGTTAGTACACAGATGCTGTATGTGCTATGAATGACATCTAAGTTTCATTCTACTACATTTCATCTACTCTTAATCCTTTGATCAAGCTTAGACAGGACCAGCAGAAATTATTTTTACTTATCTTGTATGTCCTTTTATACTAATTGGCAAGTTCAAAAGTTTATAAATTCTCAATATTTGTTCAATCTAAACAGCTATGATGATATACACAGAAAATACATGCTATTTGCTACTTTTACAGAGTGTCTGTTGAACAAATATATTTTTTTACATTAGGACTTAACATACATGTCCTATGTAAAAAGAAAAGGAAAGCAGGAAAACCAAGTCATCATACCTCACAGAAGCAACAGAACTGCATAGTACTGTAACATGCTTTATAACATAGAATCATAGAATCACCAAGGTTGGAAAAGACCTCTAAGACCATCCAGTCCAGTCATTCTTCTATCACCAATATTTCCCACTAAGCCACATCCCTCTGTACAACATATAAACATTGGTGTAGGGAGCCTTCTTTGGCAGGGGGGTTGGACTCGATGATCTCTGGAGGTCCCTTCCAACCCCTACAATTCTGTGATTCTGTGATTCTATAAACATTTTTTGAATACCTCTACTGATAGTGACTCCACCATCTCCCTGGACAGCCCATTCCAGTGTCTGACCATTCTTTAGAGAATTCCTAACATCCAAACTGAATCTCGCCTGGAGTAATTTGGGGCCATCCCTTCTAGTCCTATCACTAGTTACATGTAAGAAGAGGATCCCCACCTCACCACAACCTTCTTTCAGGTAGCTGTAGAGATAAGGTATTCCCTGAGATTCTTCTTCTCCAGACTAAATAACCTCAGTTTCCTCAGCTGTTTCTCATAAGACTTTTATGACTTGTATAACTCATAAGAAGCATATGAAGATGTCTCACATTTCAGTTTGTCTGCTTTTAACTACATCATAAATGTAGTGTTATTGTTTTCATGGTAGTATTGTTTTTTATGAGTCTTTTAGATAAAGAACATACTTCTGTCCCTTTAGGATTCCTTAGAGTGTTGGATATCTTTGACTATAAAATTTATTTGAATTTGTAGCACTTTTAGTTTATACTTCAGTTATATATTACACTCTTAATGCACTATCCTGCTATTATATTTTTGCCTTGTGATAAATGCTTGTGAAATACTGTCTTTGATATTAATCACACAAAGAGCTGAGTCAGTTTGTATGTTTATGATAAAATATTTAGAAGACAATGTGAATAGGCCTTATGTACTGTAGATTTTACTCCATGTCTTGAGAAGACCAGATGTTCTCATTTCTAATGGGGTGTTCATTATTTATTACTGCCACTTTATTGAGATGCCCAGCTGTTTTATTGAATGTGTTTCTGAATCAGTGGTTGTCCATAAGGATGGAAAAAGATGCTTCATTAGAAGGAATCTTTACATTCATGAAGACAATATATCTTAGGATCTGTAAGACCTCTCTGGTTTTGCAGTAATATTAATGTCCCTTAGGAAGATTGTGTAAAATTGAGGACTATGATTATTACACTTCAGGAAACCAATGAAACACAGGTAAAGAATGGTAGTAACAGCTTCCCTGTAAATGCACTGCAAAACAAAGCAAGGTAATTTTTTCCATTCATATAGACTGTACTTCAAATAATCTCTTCAGAAGGTTCTTGAGCATTACTGAATCTTCAATGTGCACTCATTTTTGAACTCAGCTAAAGGTTACTTTTAAGCATTACTGACAATCCCTAGTAAGAATTTCTGAATTTTACCAATGTCTGCAGCTAATGGAGTTTGAAGGAAGGTCACGGTGGGAAACAAAGTTTTGTCTCCAAGTTCTTTAGTCCCACTCCTTAAACTTTAACTTCTTGAGTATTAAATGATAAGTAGCTGATTTCGTGTTTAGGGTTTTCTTCATTTTACAGCCCACTATTATCTACTAGCTGAAATTAGAACAAAACTGTCTCTTGAAATAATATTTTTTGAAGGAGCCAGTGCTAAAATAAATAAATAAATAAAATTTAAAAATATAGTCCCAAATTAAGGTATAACTTGAAGAGGCTGGTTCAGATACAGTGGGCACACTGAGTTGAAACCACGGCTTCAACTTTTTCAGATAAAAAATGTTAAAACATACACATCTTTTTAACTGCATCTTTTCTAGTCACATCCCTTCCTCTAACCTCTTTTCCAGCATAGTTATTACCAGTGGGAACCTTAAAATTAATTATAATCAGTATCCTCTAGTTTTTAAAGAAAATATTCTTTTCATCACTTCAGTCTTGGATGTTGCATCGTTCTGCTGTTAGGCCCCTCCTCCTATCAGTATTCAGTACGTATGCACGAATGTATCAGCTTCTAAAAATATTAGAGCAGTTAGCAACACAA